GTACGTATCGTAACGTCACTCATGTATCGCGATACTGTAACACTGGTGATGCACTGCCTAAATCTTTGACTCGGAAGAGTTACATCCCTTAATTGAGACTTTTTTTTTTTTAATATATATCGGAAAACAGGTATATCGCAATAATACACGGGTATATCCTACGGTACCACAATACAGAGCGACCTTTCGAAGTCACGCTATTGTTCGTGACGTCATTTTATGACGTTTTGGGGTCAGTCAGGGTCATTGACATCACTAACAATTGTCATCCAGGCTTCATATGCAAATGAGAAGTGCGGACAGTTTACAACTTTACTAGAAGAGCAGCTGTTTTTACGGGTATTAGGTAATAAGCAAGAAATATAATCCATCACTGATATGAGGTAATCAAACCCTCGGGATAAAATATTGGTCTCCTGCTCGATATTTTATCTCTTGGGTTTGAATAACCTTATCTATACCTCACATCAGGGATGGATTCTATTAATATTCATTCTGTATTGCAATATATGGTGATACACTTGACTCTTGGCATATTGTACATGAGACACCCCTATTGAAATTATAAATCCCCTGGCAGCTTACAAATCCAATGTATGGAAATCCTATGGATTTATGAAAGGGAAAAACACCAAACTTGTGTTATACATGTACAATTACTGTAGATTGTGCTTGATGCAGTTTTCAGACAATACCACAAACATGTCGGTGCGCCTGTGACATCACCACAAACCCTGTAGTGGCAATGGGGCTTTGATTTAACTCTGTTCAAACGGTTGAATCCATGTTCATTAATTGTCCCGAGTTTTAATTATACGAACAAGCTTAGTGATACATATCGCGATACATCAATATATATCGTGGCCTTCATATATGTTGTATCACAATGTGTATCGCATCATGGTGAGCTAGCTAGCTGGCGATACTCAGCACTACTGACTGAGCAGCAAATTTGAAACAATGGACTTGGATACAAATTATAACTAACACTGGCATCAGATTGCAGCAACCTCATTAAATATGCACCAACTGAATTTAGCACCGTGAATAAACCAGACAAGTTCTCAAAATCCAATAATTTATTCACACACATTGTCCAGAAACTCAACTAGATTCAAAATCAATGTTGGTCACTTGCAGCCAAACCAAATTTTGGATTCAACTCGAAATTGCACCCGAGTGGAAAATTGATTCTACATAAACGTTGATGGAAGTTTCATGAAAATCAGGCATTCATTTAAATGAAATTATGATGGCCATATTAGATTTTTAACTGCCGAAAAATAAAACTTATATTGTTTAACTCATTCACCCACGAAGACACATTTAAACTCTTCGAATTTAAAGGTTGGAATAGTTCTTTATGAAACGTCAGGTGTGAATGAGTTAATAATGAAAAACTTTATATGAAGTTCATCAAATTCATAATTTCATTCCTTCAACTTACACAGAAATCATGTTAGGTGCCAAAGATGGTCATCTCGAACTTAAATTTCAGCTCAAAAGCAAATTTAAATTGAGCAGGTTACCACCATTGTAACATATTTGAGTAGTTTCGTGAAAAACAAAGAAATCCTTTGAGAGTTATCGCACAAAAACCTTTTGGTGGATAAATCTTTTTAAGTCACTTTTGCTAAATGCAAGCACAACAACAACCATAGAGTTGGTACTGATTTTCTTTTATACATATTTATTCAAAATTTCTATCGTAGTGGCCTTATCATGGAGCAACTGTTATGAAGTATTATTCTAAGGGCAGGGAGTCAAACCACTTTTCCGTACAAAAGCCACGAAAAGTTATAAATTTCTCCTCTATTCATACAGAACAATTATAGGTAGGGAATTATAGGTAGGGAATCTCAGAAACAAAGAATAATTTGACACTGCATGCCTTTTATGGTATGCAGATATGGTTATAAGGTATAGGACTACAATCATGTCAAAGTAATAAGTCGAAGTCCATGTAAATAATTTTCTTTGTTTATAATCTGCCCTAGTTTTATCGATTTTAAGTTTGACTCATTCACCCCTGGAGACACATTTGGACTCTTCCAATTCAAAGGTTGGAATAGTTCATTATGAAATCTCAGGGGTGAACGAGTTAAATTAGGGTTTTGTTGACACTTGGGTATTCTCTTGGTTTTTCCCCCCATGTAAGCTTAAAAGTATGAGGAAACTTAATAGTTTCGATCCCATGTACCTTATCATGACCTTGGGCTTTATGGAACTCAAGAAGATCTTAAAGCTTTTTAGTTACTCATTATAACACATCCCATGTACCTTATCATGACCTTGGGCTTTATGGTACTCAAGAAGATCATAAAGCTTTTTAGTTACTCATTATAACACATCCCAGACAGCACTCAGAGTTGATATTTATTGACCTACGGTAATCTGAATATGTTAGAAAAAGATCAGGGCTTGTATTCATAAAAATATTCTCATGCTCAAACTCAGACTTTGAGCTCAAGCTGGGGTTCTTATTAAATAATAATAATAATTTGAGGTTCTTGTATACCGCTTTATCACAACCTAGTTCATAGGTCGTCTCAAAGCGGTTTACAAATTATCATCCGTGGTTATCTAGGCCTTTGCAACCAGCCAATATCTTCCTCAACTCTCTGGGGAGCATACAGCCGATGCTGCCATTTCGGCGCTCATAGCCAGCATTCAACAATACTAGCACTGCCCAACCACATACTCATTTACAGCTGAGTAGACTGGAACAAGCGAAGTAAAGTATCTTGCTGAAATATACAAGACAGTGCCGTGCCAAGACTCGAACCCGCAACCCTTCTGTCACGAGTCTGGCATCCTACCACTAGACTACCGTGCCTCCTGAGGATAAAGTGAAAATAATTTACATTTTGTCAGAGATTTGAAAGAAATTTTGACCGGCCTGCGTTTAGACTCGACCTTTTGACTGTGTAACATTATTGCATGATTAATATGCAAGTTTAAAGAAAGTTGGCAGATTGAGCCCAGAATCCAATCTTGAGCATGAGAGCGGTTTCATGAATAACGGCCCGGGAATGCTGTCATCATGATGGTGACATAGTCATATCATATGGTACTTTGTATAATGTTGATTGATTTGAACCCTGTGACCTTGAAATAATACAAGGTCGACGTTATCTAAATATGGGAACTTTATAGCACTTTTTCCAAGGTACCTACTCATCAAATACCATGGTTCATTACAGAGCTAAAAAGTAATATATTTTCAGTAACTTTTTTTTTTAAATATTTGTTGAAAAACCAATTGTAATACCATTTTACACTAAAGATTTTTTTTAGGCTTATTTTTCCATTTTCTCGTATATTTAATGAATTAGTTTTAAAAAATCCATTTGCATTACCAGTTTATTTGTCATATGTTTATATAATATATATCTGTAACTGTAATTTATCCCAAAAGTTTAGAAGTTGTGTTCAAATAACTGTCATTTGCATTGTGGGCAATAAAAAGTTCGTTTATTTATGGCTCCATAGCAATATTATTCGTATAAATTCTAATTAATTAAAAATACCAAGAAACCTGTAAGGAGGCAGTACCCAAATCGGATCTGTACCCAAAATCGGATCACTTTTTGCAAAAATACTTATAAATAAATGCGTCAACAAATCAGTTATAACAATGATGTAGTCTTAGAATAGATAGCCATGCACCATTCTTTGTCTACAGATGATTAGTTTTTAAGTTCAAATAGCACGTAATTCAAACTCAAATGTCAGTGTTTTGATTACGTTTTAAAAATATGGCGTCGCGTACGATGACTATGCATTCTGTTTTAGACTATAGGAATAAATTCACACTATAGAAATACTTGTTGTCGTATAAGTTCTAAAGGTCATCATAAAATGTTAATATGCGTACAATAAGATATTCATTTGAAGCCCAAGATACTGCAAAATTCAAGCCTTGAACTGAATTGGGTCCTGACATTCGCTAAAACCGGAGTCGCTGATTTTGGTGAATTGGTATTTTTTAAAGTTTCACTTGGACATAAAAATAAACATGCAGTAATCTTTTAATGTCACTTTTATGAGATGTGTTTGTTTTTTCTGGAATGACTCATTGAACTTAAATAAAATGATGCAAGAATTGTGAAAATCAATTCTAAAGATGTTCCTTTCACAATAAAATTCTTCATAAAAGTTTTGACATAATGATATCTGTAAAAAAAAATGGATATAGTACTGCTATATTGCTGGTTTTATCAATAAAACTTCAGTAAAGTTGTTTCTGATAGTTTCGCAACAGTTTATATTCAGCACCTGTTGGTCTGATGAACCCTTTCTCGTTGGATAACTGCAGGGACCTAACTAATATTCTGTCCTATGACAGCTTTGCACACAAAGAGAACAACATGATGATAACCCTGCAATGCGTGCATATTCATGGCAGATGGTGCGGACTTTGCACTATGGCAACAAATAAGCGTCTTGCCAGCTCTCCCAACACCTTCAGTGCGCGTGGCTTGCATTGTAGACGTGTGAAATACGAGCTGGGATTACGTTGCATATCAATGGCCGCGTGTATACATATATACACACTAGCAATATCGCACGGCTGACAGCCCCAATGTTCCGCAACTCTACTCACGGACAACAATAAAAGTTGTAAATAAACTGATAAATAGCCAAGATCTTCTGCTATATTCAAAGATTGTCTACGCTATCGATTGTTTAACTCAGTGTCAGAGATTGTCCCTCACCGTTTTCCCGAAGTGGCTAGGCCTACATACAGATCTATGTAAAGCGAAGGGCGAACAAAGAGAAAGAAGCCATCTTTGCTGGCAAGAAAGAACTCACACGGTTGCCCACGCTACAAACACATCGGTAATATGGCCGAACCAGACATGACTCAGAGATTATAAACATACAGGAATATACAGGGATAACCTTACTTTAACATGACATAGATATAATAATGAACATGTTCCCGAAACCTTGTGAAATACACAAACAACAGAACAGGAAGGCAACCACACACTTACCTCGATCGGCTCGCCTTGCTCCGTGTCACGGCGAGGCCGCTTAGGTCACCCGCATATTGATTAGAGTTGCAAACGGGACGAGTGCCCAAATCGCATATGACTGCACGCCAGGCGGTACTCTTTTAAACAGAACAGAGGGCGGTTGTATGATTAACAATAATATGTACTGAAAAGTTGTAGATAGCATGTAGATCTATAAAAACAATGAGATATATTTTGAAAATAGTTAGCCTACATTAGAGATACAATCTATACCGATAAATGGAAGGCCTGTTAACGCTAATAAATTGCACAGGGACCCCAGATTTTAGTAGTGGTACAGATAATCTATATTTGGACCTTTACTAAAGGTATTCAGAGAAATTTTACACGTTTCAGGGGGTTGGATTCAACTTTCGGTAAAAATGCTAATTATTACCGAAAGTTGATATAAACCACTAAAACGTATAAGATTACTCTGAACACCTTAGTTCAGGTCCAAATATAACTGTAACAAATTTCCAGGTCCCTGTAGTAAATTGTATGCGTTACAATATGGCATATATTTCCTATTCAGATACCAAGGATCTATCAGTGCTGTCATCGTCCTCGATATCCACGGGTTACACTCACTTTCTATCTCTACAAGCGTAAGTAAGCGTAACCCCTGGATATCGAGGATGCGCTGTAATATGGCTGCATGCATGTTTTATCATTGATCGAGAAGCAGTGTAAAAAAGTAAGATAATGTAACAAGTATGATAAAGCGACCGATCCGATTACCTAGGTACGGCTACCCATTGTAAAAATAATCAAATGACGTAACCATTTGGTATTCCGGTGTCCCAACGTAATCTAACATTCAAACAGTATTATCACGGACTTAGATAATACTGAGTGACGTAGCCATTGGGTAATTAAAATTGTATTATAATATCTATCTGCTTTTGAAACTCAAAGTGTATGTGGTCCGAAATAACTATAGCCTTTTAAAAAAATCACGGTCTCCGGGACACACGTCAAAGCAAAATACAAGGGACCACGCGCACGTGGGTCTAGAAAATGATGAAACCTTGCGCCTACCATCCTCGATATCCAGAGGTTACGCTCACTTTCGCTCTCTACGCGTGTACAGAGCGAAAGTGGGGATGTGCGCCCACCTGCATTGCACCAAGCAAGTTGCATACTAATGAGGTAAACTTTTGATTTACTGTTAAAAAAAAACTCAGTTGAAACAAAGAAGTACCTCCTCATTGGGACATATCAAGAGGCCACCGACACGGATTTTATATTTAAATAAACAGTTCAATGGTCAGCGGACTGACCTTTCCAGAAAAGGTAAGGAATAACCTGTCTGACCACGTGGGTCAGCAGGTGCGTAATAGACGGGTTTTCAATGTGTAAGCCCAATGATCAAATGTGCTGCCGAAGGCAGCATCCCGAAGCGCGCAGCGCGAGGAGGGGGAGGTTATGGGACGGCGTCCTCCCGAGAATAATGCACGATATTTTATTTTCTAGAACGCCAGAGACGCGTTCTCCCGTGTTTTGGCGTCAATTTCAATGGCCCTTTTAACGCAAGAAAATATCATTTTCCCCTATTATTTTACAAATATTTTGCATTTTAGTATTTTATATCATATAGGCTATTTGTTAAAAATGATGTGTAAGCGCGCGATTTTTTGCTACATAGGTTGTTACGCCCCTGGGGTGTTTTCCCAGGTAACGCAGTTCCCTCCCATCTTAAGAACCCCTCCTCCAGGACATACGCGACTGCTCATTGGTAAGTTTGATATTTCATATTATTGTAAAATTGATGTAGCCGACCGCTCACCGAGTCTCTTTTTGATTAGGATTTAGTATACCGTTATGACCGATAGGGTACATAGTACAGTAAAGGCGATTTATTAATAGAGCCGGAACATGGTCCGGAATATCTTATGAAAAGTTGCTTTCAGGAAGTATATCGCTATATCTTCTAAAGATTTTAAAAGTGCAACATTTCCGGGACCAGAAAACAAATAAAAGAACTTCATTACTTTTAGATATGTTGCCGGTAACACAAGTATGGGCCTTCTCAGTTTATTAGTGATATGATCTATAATTAAGTAGATACCGATTTCCAAACAACATGCATTGCTCATACATGGAAATTACTATCAAAATCGTTACGGCGTCCAAAAAGAACACGCCCACAAACCGAACGGTTGTTTCAGCGTGTCACTCACTGCATCTGGCTCGTCGATTGGTTGATAGAACGTTAGAGGTCGGTGTCGCTTTGTTTTCAGAAGCAGTGTACAACATTGTATCTTTTTCGGAGACTTGTTGTTTGCGCGTATTGTCAACTTAAGATTACGCATACACGTATATGGACATGTAAAATTTACATTGCATGTACATGTTTCAAACCATGTGTCATGACTTGTTTCGTTTGATGGGTACTTATCCACATTTTCGTGAACTGTAATGGTATTTCTGATTACAAGAGGGCAAAATGAAGAATATTACAAATGCTTGAAAGCAGTCCATACCGGCCGCTGCAATGAAAAGTAATATCATAGAACGGTGCAAGATTCGACAACTCATTTTCTTAAATTGCTTAAATATATTTGTAAATTATCTAATAACATTGATGTGCACGAAAACGATAACATTTCATTTTATAATAAAAGTATGTGCACAATCGGCGCAAGAAACTGTAATTCAATGCAAAGAAATACTTTTATGTATACAGTTTTATGTGAGAATACTTTTCATGACAATTAAACTGTCTTAAGCTTTATTGGCTGCTGATTATCGTTGCATGAACAATTTAAAGGTAAGAATAAATACCAAAACAAGACTGATGGGATAGTATTGTATAAAGAACATTGATATTTATCTAAAAAGTGTCCCGATTTGGGTACAGTGACGTTAGATAACCTGTGTGCCGATAGTACATTGTGTACCCACGAATGTCAGCTGCAGTGTTACTCTCGATGGAGCGTATCCATGGAGATAATTCCCCGGAAAATGATACCTAGTTGTTTTCGTTTTTATCAAGTTTTTGTTCAATATTGAATAAATATTGCAATTACAATTGAAACTGTTTAGTTTTTATCAAGACAGGGAATATTTATAAGCAAATATATGCTGCCGGTATAAAAAAAATCATGCAATTTTTGCACATTCTTACAATTTCGTTCTGTTGTATATATGTACGCAATCACAGGGCCTTGACACGTTCCTATAGGTATTTTTTTCAGTCTGGGTCATAGGAACGTGTCAAGTCCCTGTTTACGCAATAGCATGTGGATATGCTCAACGAAACAGTCTAATATGGCAATTAATTGATAAAGATATATATGTATGTCGTTTGAAGCATTTACAAATATATTTAACACGTATACATTTGCATGTAAACGTTAGAAAAGTCAAGTGAATGAGTTGTCGAATCTTGCACCGTTCTATGATGTTACTTTTCAGTGCAGCGGCCTGTATGGACAGCTTTCAAGCATTTGTGATGTTCTTCATTTTACCCTCTTGTAATCAGAAATACCATTATAGTTCACGAAAATGTGGATAAGTACATATTGCACTAAACATTCAAGTGATGACACATGGTTTGAAACATGTACATGCAATGTAAATTTTACATTTCCGTATACGTGTATGCGTAATCTTAGGTTGACAATGCGCGCAAACAACAAGTCTCCGAAAAAGATACAATGTTGTACACTGCTTCTGAAAACAAGGCGACACCGACCTCAAACGTTCTATCAACCAATCGACGAGCCAGATGCAGTGAGTGACACGCTGAAACAACCGTTCGGTTTGTGGGCGTATTCTTTTTGAACGCCGTAACGATTTTGATTGTATAGCAATCGAAGCAAAATTTACTCCATCCTCGATAATCCAGCGGTCATGCTCACTTCCGTTGTTATAAGTATTGTTCTGACACTTGTTCTTTTGTATTTTATTGCATTTTTAAGTCTCATAAGTCATAGTTTACTTTGACAGTAATGTATATTGAAATAACTTAAAACTATATGATATAATAATCTGACAAATATCTGGTGAAACGTATTCCAAGGTTTATATAATATTGCCTTTTCAAGTATCATAAGTCAAACTAGCTTTGACAGGAATGTGTGGTTATAAGGTATTATAAGCTAAAGTAAGCTGACAAATATTGAGCTTTTTAAAATTGACAACTGTTTTTAATGTATATTTTCTGTCTTTGTAGTGTCTCATAAGTCGATTAACTTTGGCTGTATTATCTGTTTTATATGTAGATCAATATGTGACAATTGAATAAAATGGAAAATAGAATAAAAATTATTATTATTATTATTTTATTTATTCTTACGTTCTGTGCAGAGAGCGAAATTGAGCGTTACCCCTTGATTATCGAGCTCATTATTTATCAGTTATATGAGTATTGAGGAAGATGATTCCCCGTGTTGGCTCTGCATCTTAGCACCAAGGGACCAAATATTAATACCCGGCCTCCTTGGCCCCGGCAATATATAAAAAAATCTCTCGTCGTCAGAAAGCTGCGTCATCGCAGCTAGGTCCAAAGGTGCAATAAGTTATTAAAATTTTGGCCCATAATTTGATCAACTGGATAATAAGGATGATTTGGCTTAAAAAGACTATTTTACACTACAATTTCCCCCTTTTTTAGTCCCAATGTGAGCTTTTCCGTCTTTATACAACAAATTAATTCCATGGTCGAAACAACGAAGGATGCCAATTGCAATTTGGTAAATATCTAGTTTATTTCATATATATGTGTAGTGAGTTATAATAGGGACCCTGGGACTAACCATATTAATGGGCCAGGGTTATGACCCTTGGGCTTAGTCCACAAGAGTGCAGCAAAATTCTAAGGAACCCTAAAGAATGTTTATAGATATCTTTACGATATTTTTGATCTACAAATCTACCTGCGTAAACCCATACCAAAAGAATATCTAAAAGAAATAACAAATATTAGATTATCTTCTCATAACTTAATTAAATGTAGAAAAAGGGCGATATCAAAACATTGAGCGAAATCGTCGAGTGTGTATTATATGTAACTCAGATGTTGTTGAAGATGAGTTTCATTTTATTCTTA